GTTGATAGTCGTCAATTATCAACCATTTGAATACACTGAAGAACTTGAAAATATCGGTTTTTATTCAAAAAAATAAAAATTTTCTTATTTTTTCAAGAACAAATTGAATCGATTGCCATGAAAACACCTAAAGAATTTATAGCTATGTTTGAAAAATTAAGTCGTAGTGAAGAATGACGTGAACAATATGAACAAACTCAAAGAAGAAAAGAACAAAGCTCAACAAGAAGATACACATAGATATTTTCAAAAGAAAAATGATGTTGAAAAGTAAAAGAAGAAAGTTCGTCTAGAAAAAGAATTTTCACAAAAATATGTCGCATTAAAAACGCAATACATAAGTAAATGAAATATTTCGAGAAAACAAAAAAACTAACGCCTAATATAAATTTCTATTAGGATAAACTTCAATTACAATTAAAGTTATTTCAATTATATCATAATAAACAAGAATTAATTTAAAACTGTGAAATAGCTGAGAAGAAAAGAGAAGAAGTTGTAAAATTAGAAAAAACGAAAAGAAATATCCGATAAAGAAACTAAAGTTAAAAAAGAAGAAATTAGCAATTTACAATAAAGAACTTGCAAATGATGAACAAAAAGTTAAAGAATTGATAAATCTGTTCGTTTTTTTTTTGTTCGATTAATTTTTATTTTAAAAAGAAATTCATTATTTTCTAGGAAGCACAAATAAATAAAAAACCGTCCGACTTATATTAAAACCAATGAAAATTTAACACATCATTAGAAAAAAATTGACCTTGCAAAGTAAGAGAATTTTGTTTTTTGAATTGAATTGTGCAGTTTAACTTGAATAGTCTAAATATTTGTAATGATTTCTACATTCTATTGGCAAGCATAAAAATTAGTCAGATGTACTTGTAATCAAAAAATTCAGATTACAAATATTTTCAATTTTTTCTTTTATTTTCTTGATTAGTATTTAACAATTACAATTACTTCCGAAACTCAATAGATATCCATTATTTATTTAAATTCTATGAATGTTTTTAATAATTATAAATGTGCTACTATTATTCTCATGATTTATTAAAATATAGATTTTTTACTTTATCTTGATTTAGTGAAAATTTTGTTATCTAATTCTTTTTGCTGTTTATTTTTGATGCAATAATTACGTTGAATTTTTCATTATGATTATGAGAGAAATTGATAAAAATCTTGGTAAATTTTCGTCATAGTTGAAAAAGTAATTGCACAATTAAAACAAATAGGTTTTTGTTTTAGGAAAACTCTTCTTGCTGTTGAAAAGGCTCACATAGCTCATGGTGAAGTAATAGAAAAATATGAAAAAAATTTACTTGAAATTGAACGATTAAGACGAGAATATGAAGATAAATTACAAAATGAATCAACTTAGTGGTTTTAATTTAGCATTAGAAGAAAATCAAGTAAGAATTTGTATTTGATTTTTGTATTTAAAACTAAATGTAAATTATTTTTTTTAAATGTAGATGAAAGAATATCGATGATTAAAAGAAGAAGCAGCTAAAAAAAAAGGAAACAATTTTCCGAAGAGTACGATTCAATTGATCGTCAACAACAAGTTGATAGAACAAATCTTGAACAAAAACAACCAAGTCAAAAAGATTATATTGCTTGAATAAAACAAACTGAATTATGTATTGAAGAATTAAATGAAAAAATTAATAAATTGAGTGGTTATATTGCGTAAATATATTGTTTTAATTAATGTTATAAATTAAACTAAATATCGTATATGATTTATAGTGATCTTGAACGAGAATTTAATGAAAAACAAGCCAATGTTCAATTACTAGAAAAAAGAAATTGTCGAAAATCGAAAGCGTTGTGCTGAATTAGAAAAAGAACTTGATCAAGTTATTTATATCCGAGATATCCATATAGGTCCCTATCGGATAGTATGGGTTTTAAACTCTTCCTCCGTGGATACACTCAAATATGTTCCATTGTAAGACCAAAAAAATGTTGTAGTCCTTCCAAATGTAATTCATAT